TGGTCGAAACATCGCCCCAGGGAATGTAATCTCCGAATTCAATAGTTATAAATATTTGTTCCTTGAATGTAAGCATGAAATGGTTTTAAAAAATTAAAATGTCTTAAAACAAATGTCACATCCAATTTCATGGAATAGTTGGTGTTTTTTTTTTCTTTTATTGACAAAATTGCAAAAATATTTGCACCAATCAAATGTTCTGTAAATCTTGAAAATTATATCTCAGCGAATATCATGTCAAATTACCTTAAAAATAGGGTACATGATATTGGAATGTAAAGACCGGAAATTGGAAGAAACATAGCTCTGACGTAGCGGTGATGAGACATTCACTGACATAGTCATAACGGTAATAGCCGTAGTCTGCCACGGTCAGTTAATTTCACTAACCGACGTTGTAACCTTAATATCTGTTATAATCTGAATTTTAATGCAAATTTTACCTTCCAACTTAGATTGATATCGAGTATTATTCCTAAAAATGCACCTTGTTTTCGCTAGCTAAAGTATTATTCCACGGGTGTCTTTTCCTTTTCATTAAAGTTGGCGTGAGAAGTAAATACAGTCGGTAATTACTTGTTTTTCTGCCAACCTACATATCCATTTTGTTTGCTCGCTGTTTTGCGTGGAACGTTGATTTTCTTAAAATTATCATTGCCCTTTTTGGCGATTTATTTTCCTGCGCTTTTTACATCTGGAAAAAGCCTTGGTATGAAAAAATGTATTGCAAATAAACGAAATGTAATGATACGCTTATTGAGAACGACTTCAGATTTTTCTTAGTGTTCTCCAAAGACTATTCTCGAATTTTTCACCAATACTTTGAGAAAATGTAACATTAAGCATTTGGAGGAATACACTCTCCTACACAATTTACATTGAAATAAGAGATCAAAAATATCTTGTATATTTAGTTACATGTAATGAGTCGCCCAATAAGTTTTGCAAAAGCTTTTTAATTTGTAGCTTGTGCCAATAACTAATGTAATTTTACCTTATTTAAAGTTCAAACAATTAGTTAATCGAAGGGCAAAGTCAGTAATAAATATACACTCAGATATCAGCAATTGCCTTTAGGCTACATTTTTCAATGATGTTAAGCGTCAAGGATATTGGTTATTACTATCTGAATAGTATTCATAGAGAAAATGTTTATTAATTAAATACTTTCGGGGGAGCGTGTACGTGTGTGTGCAAGGTTCTCATCACGTACCTAATTGTAAATACATTATTGTTACACATGAATGAATTCTCGAAAATATTTCATTAAAGCAAATTTATTGATAAACAGCTATTATAAACGTTCGCTCTGATTATCTTTGACCATTCCAGCCTTCAATTTTTAAAACGAATCAAATTGATATCTCATCTTATTAACGTACGAATGATCGTATGTTTGTGTACTTTTGATCATGTATTTTCGATTTTTGTTATTTTTTTCATTTATTTATAGTCGCATCGACATTTGAGGTCATTAGCGATTCAAAACTGATACATTGATTTAACAATACTTAATACTTAGTTGTTAATTAACAGGGGGACAGATATGGGTCAATACTTATGTTTAACATATTGTGACCTCAGTTAATATATTGTTCGAGTTTCTTCATGTATTTTTGTAGATTTTTATTTTGGAGCGAAAATTGTATAGATATTAAACAAACCAATAAATAAATAAATATAGTTTTAATGAAAAATTAAGAATAACTTTATTAGTATAAACAAAAGTCAGGTATGTACAAAGCGCGCGGGCAGGTGCGCTCGTGGCGGTGCGGTGACTAGTGCGGGCGTGCGGCGTGGGGAGCGCTGGGGGCGTCAGGGCCAGACGACGCTCTCGATCCACGGCACGAAGGAGGCGACGCGCGAGTAGACGGCGGGCGTCTCGGCGCGGGCGCAGCTCTTGCCGAATGACGTCACGCCCACCACCGAGTACATGCAGTACCTGCTGTTCATCAGCACCTGCAACAACCACAAGTTGGCACATCGGATACCTGCGATGGAAAGACATGGATCGATAGGAAAGGTTAAAAACATTAAAAACTTCTGAAATGTGAGAACTAAAAGAAAAGAATGATGAGAGATAAGTTAAAGAAACAGAAACTGGAAAGCGTGTACCGTATGCGAGTCTGGGTGCGTGTGTGCGCGTGCGTGTGTCTACGCGTGCGTATATGCGTGTGCACATATGAGTGTGTTCACGCGCGCGCGTGTGTGAATGAGACAGAGAAAGAGAGAAGGGGAGAGTATTAAAATTGGCTATATGAAAGTAGGAGCTACATGAAAGGGAAGAGGAGAAGCGATAGAAGAGCAAAAATCACACCATCTCAATTGAGATGGTGGGACAACAACCTGGGGCTTAGAGCTTGCTTCAGCTAGGGCGGGGCCCCGCTGACAGAGGTGTCTGGATGGAGAGTCCGCAAGCCGAAGTCGGCGCAAGATTTCACGTTCCAGAGGAAGAACAAAACTTCTCTGTTAGAGACTTAAAAAATGTCCCTTCATTATTCAGCAGTTCATTTTCAAAACTATATAATTTTGGGGAAGGAAAACAGAAACTATTTTGAGAACATGTTTACAAAATGTAAAGGAGTGTTAGGGAGTCAATCATCTTTAATAAATTAAAGTGAAATAGATCCCGTGATTACCCCTTCGTTAATACTTCATTTCAATGCCAACACAATCTGCTACTAATTAGCAGCCATATTCACGCTTCAGGGACAGTTTGAAGGTAATTAACGTCAGGTGTTGAAAGTTTCCCATACTAGCCTCCTAAAGTTTTCCTAACATTATTTTCTCACGTTTGTGACTTCTTTCTTGAGAGGTGTACGTTTATCCCCAGTCGGTTGCATTCGTACCTCACAAGGTTCATACTTTGAGGCCCAGTGGACTGCAAACGAAGGTTACTACAATTTCGGTTCCTCAGCATGTGTAGAACATACGTGACGCGGACATGTGATTTGATGGCTAGGTGTGAAGTGATATTAAAGATGGTGAAGTAGTGAATTACGAGAAAGATAAATTGAAGAAATCCGACAATATTTTCCACGATAAGATGTTTTCTGACTCAAATTCCACATTTTTTTGACCGGGTTTGAAGTACGATACCCAGAGGTGGAAAGCTGCTGCGTTTGACGCTACATGGCAAGAAATTTGTGACTTCCACTTCAGAATAATTTACGTTATACTTTACTCTGAAAAAATCTGCAGACTTCGAGATTAGCTTGACGTTTAAAACATGAGAATGTCAATTTTTTCATGTTTTTCCTACTTGTCATAGGGCGGCCCTCAGAATGACAAGCCACTTTAGGAGATGCTCCTATCACATTAAACTAGTGATAGAAAGTGTAGTTATTTAAGCGTCTCTACCCCCTTTCTCATAGCGAAAGAACCGCTGATATCTATTTGTAATGAATGGCCTAACCATTATGGCCATTCCTGGAATGATTTTGAAGGGAAGATATTTAGTAAGATATGATATGAATGTTGATGTAAAAATTGTGTAATGAGATGTAGAAAAAACGGGAGAATCCTGGAAAAGCTTGCTGGGGGCTCGCTTGGTCCCCAACAGTCGTCATGGTTTGTCCGAGATTTTCACCGTTGCCCCAGTAATGGAAGGTAAGAAGTGTGACCGCTACACCACCGGTCGTGCCTCTTGCGCAAAGACTGAAGGCTGAGGGTGTGGAAATGCTTGAGTACCTGCAGAGGCCCGCCTGAGTCGCCCTGGCAGGTGTCGTGCCCTCCGAAGGGGTCCCCGCCGGCGCACACCATGTTGTCTATGATGCCCTGCGGCACAGACGGCCGGTACGCAGGGAAGATGGCGGGGTCGAAGTGGGGCTTGCAGTCGTCCAGGCTCACCAGCGGCAGGTTGATCTTCTGCAGGGTCTCCGCCAGGGGGCCGTCTGCAAGGGCCACACACAGCAGTTTGAGAAACAGTTTCTACTCTCCGATCACTTGTTATAATACAAAAGAAGTATAACGTTTACTTAGTTATAATTCATATAATTAAGTAGTATAAGTAAGTAATAATAATTATCTTTAGATTATTTATAATTAACTATAATTTGTTATAATTAACAATTATATGTTTGTTTTGTGTTTTCAAAAATTAGCATAGAAATGAGACCATGCAACTTTTCCCAATGAGCATCAATGGGAGTTTTTCTCATTTTATGTTTATAAGTAACTAAAATGTTTCATATGAGAATGGTCAATGTAATAAATTCTGTGGCTTAGGAAGACAATAATGATCGATATAGAAATGATTATGTGGCTTAGAAAGTAACTCTCTATCGACTAAATAATTATCCTTTCTCTCAGGAAGGAAATATCGATCGATTAAGGAATGGCTTTGTGACGTAAAAAAGTAAATCACTACATACTAGATAACAATTCTGTTGTTCAAAAAGAAAATAGTGATCGATAAAGGAATGATTCTATGGCTCAGGAAGGAAATCGCGGTAAATCAAGGAATGATCCTGTATTCTAGGAAGGTATTCGCGATCGATCAAGGAATGCTCCTGTTGCTTAGAAAGTAAATCACTATCAATCAGATAACGATCCTTTCTCTCAGGAAGTGAATCGCGATCGATCAAGGAATGATAGTTTTCAGGAGAGAACGCCCATGGATCAAGTGATGATCCTGTGACTCAAGAAGGAAATCCAATGGATCAAGTGATGATCCCATGGCTTCGGAAGGAAATCTCAATCGATCGAGGAGTCTGAGGAAGCGACCGCGCACATACTGACCAACGGCGATGACGCCCCACCCGGAGGCGGTGGCCTGCTGGGGCAGCTCGTCGCTCTCCGTCTGCAGGCACGCGGGCCGCACGGCCTCGTCGAAGGTGGCGGGCCGGTCCAGCTTGAGGAGGCCGATGTCGAAGTACTTGACGCCGTCCACGTAGCGCGGGTGCGCGATGCGCTCCACCACGCTGAACTCCTGCACCTTGGCGCGGTCCTGGTCCGAGTACAGGTTCAGGTCGCCCAGGCGCACCCAGCGCGCTGGACCTCTGCAACAATGCCCTTCGTATAACAAAGACGGCCAACCTCCTTCAACAGGTTGTGCACAAGATACTCTGTTTCATATAAGAAATTTGTCAGCATGAACACAATGCATGTCAAAACGAGATACTGCTGCTGTGATCATTCTGAAGTTTGGTTGCTTGAATTAATCTTTCTTTCCATTGAAACTGCAGCCTAGTTTGGGTCACGCTCGGTTCTTAATCAGTTCCTTAAACAACATCTCCAGCATCCACCTAGAATTGGCCGGAGAAAATCACGTAAAATATGTTACAGAGCTGCCGATGTCTAAGAATTCTCATCTACGCAACGACTTCACTGCTTCAGAGAACAAAGTAGTGACGGAAATTCTGACTCTAATTTGTACCTACCTAATCTTGCCTACGAAGTTCAATATGCGCTCTAAAAACTACATGTTAATTTTCCTTTCAGAATTCTAATTAAATTCCCTTTCCTCTTGAGCATAGTTATATTCAGAAATTCCCGTGTGTTTCTATATAATTATGAACTTAACAATAATTAAATAAATGTTTAATACAATAGTGCATCACAATAGTGCATACAATAGATACTCACACGCCCCTGCGTCCAGGCTTGGGTATGTCTTCGATGCAGTGGGCAGCGGTGAGCACGTAGTTCTCGCTGATAAGGGCGCCCCCGCACAGCCACCTCTTGCGGTCGCTCTCGCCGAAGCCCACGGCGGCCTGCGCACATGACATGACACTCGTCACACACCACACCTCCTCACTACTCGCTCTAATCATAACACCCAACAAATGGAACCAATCAACTTTCATTTTTAGGTGGTCAAAAGATAGTCCCAAATCTCTCCTTAATCTCAATCATCAAGATCATACTGGGTTGTATGAAGAGGTGGTGAATCAATTAAAATTTGCAATTGTCAGTTGCATTATTCGGTTTCCAAAACTGAAATTAAATAATGATGGATTGATGATTATGATGAAATGTATGAAGGAGGTTGTAACAGTGGCGGCATAAGTCGGTGTCGAAAGCCCTTTGTCAACAACAAAATGTATTAATCACATTGGCATTTGAACCCCGATGCCCATAGGTGGAAAGCAAGGGTTCTACGGGACACCCCATTTTACACTAATCAGGCAGTGGAGTGATATTTACCTCTTTTTTGTATCTCCCTGGACGGCATGTCCTCTGAACATGTTAAGCCCTCCGCCCTGTCCCCTCAAACGAATATATTTCTAACAAACATCTAAATCATATTACTGAATGGAACACGTGCGTAATGTGCGTATTTAATTAAGTATAAGTTCATAAGTAGTAGTTACGTGAGAGCAGTGAGTCAATGTTAGCCGTACCTGTAGTTTGATGTGAAAGGTGTGGGAAATTTTGCGCTGCTGCCGGAACCTAGCTCTCGACTTGAGAATGTAGACTATAAACATATCAAATTGGTGTTGGCGAATTATTTACTTATCAATACACCTTAATGAATTGTCAACAGCTGTCCAGGCATTCTACACGTGTTCCATATACCAAACAAAAAGGCCGCTCCTCTCAAGGGCGCCGGTCTGCCCCACTGCTTGCTCTAGTCTTGTCCGTTGCGCGCATTTGCACGCCGCTGCGCAGTGCGCAGTGCGCTGAGCACTGTGCGCTGAGCGTTGTGCGCTGAACGCCGCTCACCATGTGCGGGAACTCGAAGAGCGTGGCGTTCTTGCCGCCGATGACGAAGGGCTGGCTGCCCACCAGCTCGGGCACACGGCACAGCGACGTGTTCACCTTGGGCTCGAAGGGCGTCAGCGCCACCGCCGGCCGCTGCAGCCGCCACACGTGCGTCGCGTACTCTGCGCACTCTGCAACGCAGCGACGGTCAGCCAAGGCCCATTCACAAGGCAAACATAAACATAAGCATAGAGCATGGACGTAAACATTAACATAAGTGATAGACTCAAGTATTTACAATGTCCAACATTAACGTAAGCAAAGTAAGAGTTTCTATTGGCTGTGAGACATTCTGGTTTACTAGAAGTTGGATGTGAGAATCGATTTCAAGGTATCGACTGCGTCCATGGCCCATATGGCGTTAGTTCTTCAATCGACTTCGCTGCAATTTCGATTCTCGATTTTGAGTTACCGTTGAGTTCTCTCATCTTCATGTGGGTGGGTCTGTATTTATTTTACTTTTAGGAATGTTTATAAATGTTTCATTAAAGAACATTTGCATTACTTGGTTACTCCTATTGCAACTCTTCCTTTGATACTATCGCAATGAAGGCGTTCAATATTTGACAGTTCGATTAAACTTATTAATGCGGATGAAGTATTTTTATAGCCGAAACCATCACTGCAAATGGATGTTTGATTAACCAAACACTCAAAGCCATTATTTTCTTAAAAAAAGTGTGTGGC